GGCCAGTATGTAACTTTTTGTATCTGAATTATTTAACTTAGCATAATGTCTTTCAGGTTCATCCATGTTGCAACATGTGTCAGGATTTTCTTCCTTTTTTTTTGAGATAAGGTCTTGCCCTGTCACCTGGGCTAGAGTGCAATGGTGTCATCATAGCTTGATGCAACCTCAAACTCCTGGACTCAAGTGATCCTTCTACCTCAGCCTCCCAAGTAACTGAGACTACAGGCATGTGCCACCGCGCCTGGCTAATTTTTCTATTTTTTTGTAGAGATGAGATCACACTGTTGCTCAGGCTGGTCTCGAACTCCTGGCCTCTAGCAATCCTCCCAGTTAGGCTCCCAAAGTGCTAGGATTACAGGTGTGAGTCACTGCACCTGGCCTGAATTTTCTTGCTTTTTAAGGATGAATAATATTCCATTACATGTATGTACCACATTTTGCTTGTGTATTCATCTGTTGATGGACACTTCATTTGATTCCAGTTTTTGGCTGCTGTCAATAGTGTTGCTGTGATCTTTGATGTACAAATATCTGTTGGGAGTCCCTGCTTTCAGTTCTTTTGTGTATATGCTCAGAGTTGTGATTGTTGGATTATATGGTAACTTTTTTTATTTTTTTGAGAAATTGTCATACTGTTTTTCACAGTGGCTGCAACATTTTGCATTCCCACCAGCAATGCACAGGGTTCCAGTTTCTCCACATCCTGCCATCAGTTATTTTCTGTTTTTTTTGATAATAGCCAATCCTAATGGATATGAAATGGTATCTCATTGTGGTTTTGATTTGCGTTTCTCTGATGATTAGTGATGTTGAACATCTTTTCATGTGCTTATTGGCCTTTTATTTGTCTTTTTTTGAGAAATGAGGTCTTTTGCCCATTTTTTAGGTTAAACAGGTTTTTTGTTGAGTCGTAGGAATTGTTTATTCTAGATATCAATTTCCTATCAAATATATGATTTGGAAATATTTTCTCTCATTTTGTGAGTTGCCTTTTCTCTGTTGATGGTGTCCTTTGAAGTACAAAAATTCTTTATTTTGCTGAAGTTCAGTTTCTTTTTTCTTTTTCTTTCTTTTTTTTGATTGAGAGATGAGGTCTCATCATGTTGCCCAGGCTGGAGTGCAGTGGCTATTCACAGACGCAATCATAGCACACTGCAGCCTTGAATTCCTGGCCTTAAGTGATCCTAAGCCTCTCAAAGTGCTGGGATTAGAGGCACGAACCACTGTGTCCAGGCTCATTTTAAAATAAGTTTGTGTCTATAAAAAAAAAACCTTCTTGGGTTTTTGATAAGCATTGCATTAAATCTGTACATTAATTGGGGGAGAATTGACATCTTTACTATGTTGAGTTTTCCAATCCATGAATGTAGTATATCTTTCCATTCACTTAGATTTTCTTTCATTTCTTTGATCAGCATTTTGTGATTCTTAAGATGCAGATCTTTGCCTATTGGTTTAACATTCATAGGTATCAACAGTGTTCTCTTACAGTAACTCAAAATTAAAGGTTTAGAAGATAATGTAGTGGACACCATTATAAGAATTATGAAATTCATTTCTTTTTGAAAGGCAAATAAAGCTTTTAACCTTAACAAATTCTTTAAAAAAAATGTATTTGCTCTTCCTTAACTGCTTTGTGTTCAAGTTATTGCCAAATTTTTGTACCTTTTCTATGTTTTTTCTTCTGTTTGGTTGAAACTTATAAAATTCCTGATATCCAATGATTTTTGCAAAACAGCAATTTCATGTTTCAACATAATATAGAGACCTTTTTTTATTGCTTCTTACCGATAATATTGGAGCAGCCCTGTGTGATTTCCCTTCCTTTGTCTTCTCTCTTTCCTCTCCTGTATCTTGTTACTCCTACTCTGTCAGGTTCTCCTCAAAGAGCATCCCTTTTATGAAGCATTTATGATTCTCAGCTGAGCCACTTCCTCTGGCTTCTGTACTGCCACCTGTCACAGCACGTACTGTGTCATATTGTAAATTTGCCAGGTTGTGTGTTTGCTTCTGTCCTTGACCTTGCTAGCAGGTAATTTGCTTGTTTGTCTGTGTGTTTATTTGGCTTATAAATTGGCACTTGGTGAACATACATGTTATAGTTTAAGAAAAATAATAGTACTTTGTGCTCATTTACCATGTGTTAAGGACTATTCTAGACATTTTGCAAGGAAAGTTCCTATAATAACTCTGTAAGAGAGGTAATAATATTTCTGTTTTATGGATTAGAAAACTGCAGCTAAGACGAGTAACTTGCCCACAGTCACACAATTGACTAGTGTGGTAGGCAGAAGAATGGCCCCAAAGATGTCCCCATCCTAGTCCTCATGACCTGTTACGCTACATGCAAAAGGAAATTAGGCTTGCTAATGCTGACCTTGCAATAAAGAGGTAGCCCTGGATTACCGCCAGGGCCCAGTGTGACCACAGTGCTCCTTACATGTGGAAGAGAGGCACAAGAGGAGGTCAGAGAGGTGATACGGGAGAGCTGTGAGCCAAGGAATAGCAGTACCTCTGGGAGCTGGAAGAGGGAGAGAACAGTCCCCCTGGGAGCCTCCAGAAAGGAATGCAGCCCTGCTGATGCCTTGATTGTAGCTCTGTAAGAACCATTTCATATTTTTTACCTCCAGAACCACAGGTTATAAATTTGTGTTGTTTTAAGCGATTAAGTTTGTGGTAATTTGTTATAGCAACAGTAGGAAACTAATATAGCTAATTGATCTGAGACTAAAATTTCGACTTTTTCTGTCATGCCATGATCATGTAACTTTAAGCACTAAATACTAATAATTCATTTCTATACTCTGTATTTCCTGGGTACTTTCTATCCAAAGAGTGAAACTATGATCAAAATAACCAAATCCCTACCACACCTAGCTCGGTCTGGTGGAGGAGATGGAAAATAAACAAGTAAACCAAGTTTGTTGATGTCAGGTTCGCTGATGCCTACAGGTGGGGTGCAGTGAGGGGGAGGGAGCACACAGTCCGCTGGCTCCTTCTGAGGATGTAACACAGACGCTGTGGCCTGAGGGATGGGAAGCCAAGATGAGCTGGAGCCAAGTGTGGAGAGACTGGGGAGGAGGGGGAAGAGCAGTCCTTCCAGGCAGGGTTGTTGGCCAGCTCCCGGCCCCCTGCTTGGCCAGCACTCAGTGATCTGAGGAGTGTCCACAGTTTAGAGGCATGCAGGGTGGGCTGGGGTGAGATCGGAAGGTTGCAGGGTTGGTGTGTGAGGGGCTTCTGAGCTGGGCTCTCACCCCAGATGGGTAGAAGGCTGTGGCTTTTCAAGAAGAAACAGCTGTGAGCCCACAGGTGTTTTACAAGGGTCCTCCTCACTGCTGTCAGATGTGGGACATGAGTTAGTGTGGGATTGAGAGACTCTGCTCCTGCGTGTGGGAGTGAGGAACTGAGGGCCAGTGCTGGTGACCAAGCTGGGTGGGATTCGGGAGGACTGGTTTCAGATGGAAACCTGGCGTTTTGTGTTGGACATGCGTAACTGGAGACAACTTACAGAGCGTCGAGACTTACATGTCAAGTGTGCATGTAAGACTGGATCTTGCAGAAGAAGTCAGACCTTGAGCTACACATTTCACAGTCTTCAGCATTAGGTACTTTCTAAGCTCCTAGTGTGAGCAATATGAGCCGGAGCCAAGTATGGGAAGACTAGGCAGAGGGTCTTGGTGGTGATGCAGGCTGCCTGCCTCCCAGCAGGGTCTGATGAAGAGGGACCAGACAGGAAGTGGGTCCAGTTGAGCACTGAAGGAGAAGCTGAACTGGCAGAAAAAAGAAGAGGCAAATGAAAGGGAGGAAATGAAACCATTTGTAGAAAACCCTTTAGAGAAATCTTAACAATAGAAGAGAGCAAAGAAATGAGGTATAGCTGATAGAGGGTATGGGAATAAGAGACGGTTTTAAAAAATAGATGCAAAAATTTGTGCAGCAGTGTTCAGTATGCACCAGCATACTCACAATAAGCTACAAGGTAAAAGCAACCCAAGTGTCCATCGATGGATAAATGGATAAACAGATGTACGTATATACAGTAGAGTATTACTCAGACTTAAAAAGGGAGGAACTTGGCCGGGCGCGGTGGCTCACGCCTGTATCCTAGCTTTCTGGGAGGCCGAGGCCGGCGGATTGTTTGAGCTCAGGAGTTCGAAACCAGCCTGAGCAAGAGCGAGACCGCGTCTCTACTAAAATTAGAAAGACATTAATTGGACAACTAAAAATATATAGAAAAAATTAGCCGGGCATGGTGGCGCATGCCTGTAGTCCCAGCTACTCGGGAGGCTGAGGCAGGAGGATCTCTCGAGCCCAGGAGTTTGAGGTGGTTGTGAGCTAGGATGACGCCACGGCACTCTAGCCCGGGCAACACAGTGAGACTCTGTCTCCAAAAAAAAAAAAAAAAGGAAGGAACTTCCGACACATACTGCAACATGGAGGAACTTTGAAGACACCCTGCCCAGTGGAATGAGCCAGTCACAAAAAGGCAAATGCTGTATGAGCCTACTTCTGTGATGGACTCAGTCATCAAGTCCAAAGAGACAGAAAGCAGAGTGGTGGTCAGGAGCTGGGTGGGGTAGAAGGTTGGGTGTGATAGGACAGCCTTTCTGTTGAGGGTGAAAACATTTTGGATATGGATGGTGGTGATGGTTACACAACAACCTGAATGTGTTTAATGCCACTGATTTGTCCCTGTACACATAATTTAAATGATAAAAATTATATTTTACCACTTTGAAAAAAATAGATACAAGACCATCCTCGTATAGGGAGTTGTCCACTAGAGAGAGGGCTGCAGGAGAGTAGACCTGGGTGACAGAGCCTGGGAGAAGGCCACTTGTGATCCTTCCCTCCCCCGGGCCCATGGCAGCTCAGGCCTCATGCTGAGCTCACTGAGTCCCCGTGTCCCAGACCCCTGTGCAGGTGCCCTTGTGATTGCACACTTGTGTTTACATGGTTACTTTCTATTTTTTTTTAAATTTTCTTTTTTTTAAAGACAGGTTCTCACTGTGTTACCCAGGCTTGAGTGCAGTGGCGTCATCATAGCTCACTGCAGCCTTGAACTCGTTGGCTCAGGCGATCGTCCCCTGCTGAGTAGCTGGGACCACAAACACGCACCACCATACCCAGATAATTTTTTTTCCTTATTTTTTGTAGAGATGGGGGTCTTGCTCTATTGCCCAGTCTGGCTTCAAACTCCTGGCCTCAAGGGATCCTCCCACCTTGGACTTCCAAGGTGCTGGGATTATAGTGTGAGCCACCGTGCCTGGCCTCTGTTTACATGACCTTTTCCCCAACTAAATCCCAGTTCAAATGCTACCATGTCTGTAAAGCCTTCTTTTTTTTTTTGAGACAGAGTCTCACTCTGTTACCCTGGCTAGAGTGCTGTGGCGTCAGCCTAGCTCACAGCAACCTCAAACTCTTGGGCTCAGGGGATCCATCTGCCTCAGCCTCCCGAGTAGCTGGGACTACAGGCATGTGCCACCATGCCTGGCTAATTTTTTCTATATATTTTTAGTTGTCCAGCTAATTTATTTCTATTTTTTCAGTAGAGACGGGGTCTTGCTCTTGCTCAGGCTGGTCTCAAACTCCTGAGCTCAAATGATCCACCCACCTCGGCATCCCAGAGTGCTAGGATTACAGGCGTGAGCCACTGCGCCCGGCCTCTAAAGCCCTTCTTAAATACAGCCAGAAGACGGAAGAAATTTCTGCTTTTCTTGAATTCCAAAGGAGAATTTTTGTATCTCTTATGATATCATCTTATAAACATGCTGATGTTTCTCTGCTTTAGGGCCTCTGACCACACTCTCCCTCCAGCTCCTATCACATAATCTTCTGGCCTCTGTCTCAAATACATGGGTCCTTACAATCAAAGCAAACAATTCTTGAGGCCTCTAGTGTTTGTAGGTCACTGTTACAAGGGCAGAGAAACCAGTGATGAGTGAAGTATGACGTCTGTATAGCTGCAATGAATAATCTGATGGGAGACAGTTATACAAATAATTGTGGCTGGGTACAGTGACTCACACCTGTAATTCCAGCTACTTGAGTGGCTGAGACCGGAGGACTGCTTGAGGCCAGGAGTTCGAGACCAGCCTCGGTAACATAGTGAGACCCCTTCTCTAAAAAAAAAAATAATTAGCCCTGCGTGGTGGCACATGCCTATAGTCCTAGCTACTTGGGAGGCTCAGACAGGAGGATGGCTTGAGCCCAGGAGTTCGAGACCAGCCATGGTGATATAGCAAGACCTCATCTCAAATAATTGTGATGTCAGTCAGGCTAGGATGAGAGCATCATGTTTTAGTTGCGTTCCTGTTTTATCTTCCTTTTTAGATAATAAATTTACTAATGTCAAATATATTTTATTCATAATTTGTAATTCATAATAACTTTGCATGTACTATGTGTTGAATAAATGCCTGGGTGTATTGGGGTAAAAATAATATGTTTGGCCTTGAAAAGGTTATTTAATCCCCCAAACAACCCTAAATTAAGGTATATACTGTCCCTTTTGGAAATAAGAAAATTGACGTTCTGAGAGGTTATCTAACAAAGCTTATTAAAAATGATAAGTTAGAATTTAAACCCATGTCTTTGTTCTTCCAGATTTTCTCCCTATTGATACTTTACCTCAATACTAACTGCAGCAACAATCACTTGCAACTCTCTAGCTGGATCAAATGATAGATGTTCCTGCTAAATTTGCAAGAGACTGTTGGGGTTAAGGAGATGTCAAGCTGTCTGAAATAAAGCTGTTGGTTGTATGGTTGTTGGTAAAGTGTGTCAGGTGATACAGTTGTTATGATGTGTAACGGAGGCTTCTTTCTCTTTCTCCAGATCCCCAGACTTCAAGAGAGATTTTTGATTTTGCACTAAAGGCAATTAGTCCTCAGGTAAGATTAATGACACTCTAAATCTTTTACAGTTGAGACTTGTGATTTCCAAACACTGACTGGATTTTTTTCTAAAATAGATCGATCTGAAGAGGTATGCTGTACCCTCAGGTAAGATGTGTAGTATTTTGGATGACTAGATTAGCATTTCGAGTAAGCTTTTGCAAACTCGGAGTGAAAGTAAATGTGACATCTGTGATGTTGCACACACAGTTATTTACAGAGAATCTTTTGGGGACTTAGTAACCTCTGGTTGAGATGGTCATACTCTGTTTACATGATTTAAAAAAATTTTTGTTTTAGGGTGTCTTTCTGGGGATCCAAGCTGTCCAATTCTGACTTTGCCCAAATAAATCCTCATCCCACTTCTGAGTGTTGTTTTGAGATTTGTTGGCCAAATTGTGGGCCTGTTGATTCCGTTGGAGGCTGGCAGTGTTAGAGTGCAGGTCAGGGCCTCTGGGCTATTGCAGTGTAATGTGCCATATCTTTGCACACAGTTTTTACTTCGATATATACCTGCTGCTTTCTTAGGTCTCTGTTCTGGTTTATGCTGTCTTATTTGAAACATAATGGTTCTTTCATTTGCAGCTGGCTTGCGCTTATTCGCCCTGCATGCATCTCAGTTTAGCATCTGCCTTCTGGACAACTACGTCTCTTTATTTGAAGTGTTGTCAAAATGGTGTGGCCATACAAATGTAGAATTGAAAAAAGCTGCACATTCAGCCCTGGAATCCTTTCTGAAACAGGTACTACAAATTCAACTTTCATTTAAAAATATTTTTTCCACACAAAGAGTTAAATTCCAATCTTATACATATACATTTGAAAAATAAATGCAAGTCAACCCATAAGCTTCCATAGTAAATTAAAACAGAAAGCTGCTATTGGTCAGCCAACGTCATGGGAGGCAGCTGCACTGAAGGAGAGCTTGGGAGATACCAGGTTTGATCAGGGCCTTGGAGCCAAGACTGAGGCAAGTCCAGGAGAGTGAAGATGTGGAGGTGAGCAGGTGGCGGGCAGGGGTGGGCAGCCGGGGCTCCTGTGAGCCAAAGGCGGGTGGTGCCGGGGTTGGAGAGGAGTCCTGTCTCCTAGAGGCGGGGGCCAGCTGTCTGGAGTCAGAGCACCTCAAGAGTGAGGGAGTCCCCTTGCCCTCGTGTTTTCCAGTAGGTAGGGTGTGGGCTGCAGAACTTGAGCCTGCAAGTTTGGCAGCATGTCTTGGCTGGCCAAGGGGAATGTGCCTGTGGTCCTGGGCGCTGGTCTCAAGGATGTCCCAAGCTCCAGAGGTGTCAGGGGGCCTGCAGTTCAGACTAGTCACCAGGGAACCAGACTGCTTAGGTTGGCTCTGATGGAAAACACTGGCGATTTACAACAAAAGTTTTGTTTGGAGCAAGGTAATAAGTGGATACATAGTGGTTAAATTCACAGTCTAGTCCACAAAAATCTGTGTGAACTGTGTCGCAGATAGTATTGGCCTGAGATTCGTAGCCTGGGTGTGCGGGAGGGAGAGGAGAGAGAAAGCACTGCCATCCTTTTGCCAGGTCTGGGCCCACCTCCATCAAAAACTGAACTAGATATGCAGTGACTTTGGCACCTGCCTCTCGATTCTGTCCCTTTCACTTTCTTACTGTCCCCTGCTGTCCGCAGCCTTCCCGTCAGGCTTGTTGTCTCCCTCAAGTTGTTCCCTCAAGTTGATGTGACCCAGAGCCCCCACACTAAGTCACATTGTTGCCATTGGGTGTGGCCAGCCTCTCCTCCACCTCCCAAAATCATCTAGTGATTTGTTAGATCATCCAGTGTGACCTGAGACCCCTGGGCAAGGAGAGACACCCCTACCAGGCAAGGCATTCCAGATCACCTCCCAGAAGCCAAGGCGAAGGCCAGACTTCTTTCTGGGCGGTTAAATTCTTTACTACACAATCTGGGTATTGTCAGTTTTATCTTTGCATTTGGTCAGAGGGCCTATGGCCTGGATTGTTTTGCCCTCTTGTATGACTGTTTTTTTTTTTTTTGACCAAGGTGCTCTTTGCATTATGCTGTTGTTAGACAGGAACTTCCTGCTATATTTATTGTAAGGTTTTTATTGTTTATAGTGCCCCCATGATGAAGGCCCCTGGCAGGAATTTCTTACCTCTCATTATCAGGAAAAACTGAATTTTTTTTTTTTTTAGTTTTGCATATAGATATTGGGACACTTAAAATCATCTCTTTATTGTGGCTACTGACAAGTTCAGAGTCTATCAATTATACATGCATTAGTTTAAAAATCAGCTTTGTTGAGATATATTACATATACTAACATGCATGTATTTTGAGTTTACAGTTCGATTTGACAAATATATACACCTGTATAATCACCATGTTCAAGAACATCTCTGTCACCACAGAGAGTCCCCTCAAGCCTTCTGTGTTATATCCCCACCCCACCTCCAGGGAACCAGTGTTTTTTATCACAAGGAATTAGCATTGCCTTATTTAGAATTTTATATGAATCTTAGAGTATCTGTTCTTTCATGGCCAGTTAATTTGTTTTGCTCTACTAATGTATCTGGGCGTTTTTCATGCTGTAACATGTATAAGTAGTTCATTCATTTTTATTGCTGCATAGTATTCCACGGTATGGCTGTACCATGTTTGTTTATGGACATTTGGTTGTTTCTGGTTTGGGGCTATTATAAATAAAACAGCCAAGAACATTTTAGGAGTTTCTACATATTCTGGATACAAGTCTTTCTCTAAAAATAATACAAATAGTTTTTCTTCTGTGCCTTGCCTTTTCATTTTCTTAACAGCATTTTTCAAAGAGCAAAAGTTTAAAATTTTGATGAAATCCAATTTATCAATTTTTATACTGATTCCTCCTTCATATGTCCTCTCTAAGAAATCTTTTTGCCTATCCCAGTTGGAAAGATTTTAAAACGTGTTTCTTTGGGAAGTTTATTTTTATTTATTTATTTATTTAAAGGCTGGTCAAGTGAAGCAGTGGGAGCGGAGAAGGAACAAAGGAATCTGTAACTGGTTGTGATCAATTAGTTGTAAACACCACTGCACTCAGACCAACCTCTTTGGGAAGTTTAGTAGTTTATAGTTTTAGCATTTACATTTAGGTCTATAGTCCAATTTTTTTTTTTTTCAAGACAGAGTCTTACTTTGTTGCCCCAGGTAGGGTGCAGTGGCGTCATCATAGCTCACTGCAACCTCAAACTCCTCGGCTCAAGCGATCCTCCTGCCTCAGCCTGGGACTACAGGTACACTCACTACAGGTACACGCGACACACGGCTAATTTTTCTGTTTTTCGTAGAGACGAGGTCTCACTCAGGCTGGTCTCGAACTCCTGACCTTAAGCTATCCAACCTCCTCAGCCTCCCAAAGTGCTAGGATTACAGACATGAGAACCATCGTACCCGACTCTTTAGTCCATTTTGAATTAATTTTTGTGTATGATGTAAAGTAAGGCTTGAAGTTGATTTTTCCCCAATTCGTTGGTTCTAGCACCGTTTGTTAAAAAGACTCTTCTTTCCCCATTGACTTACCTTGACACGTTTTTCAAAAATCAGTTGATCATCTATGTGTGGGTTGAGTTTTAGACTCTCTAGTTTGTTCCATTCATATTTATGTCCATGCTTATATCAGTACCCCACTTTTTTAATGATTCCAGCCTTATATTAAGTCTTGAAATTAGGTAGTGGATGTTCTCTATCTTCTTTCTTTTCCATTATTATTTTGCCTATTATGTGTGTATTTTTGAATTTAAACAACACTTCTGTGGAAGGAAATGTTCCGTTTTTCATTCAATAGCTTCACATAAAGTTCTTATGAAAAACATTGCACGTTAGTTGCATATAAGTGAAAAAATGTAGAAGAGTACAAACAAGACCACTAAAATCTTCTGAAATCACACCACCAAGGAAAAAAATCACTTACCATGTTGGTGACCCCTCTCTCTTTCCCTCCTACCTCCCTCCCTTCTTTTCCCTTCCCTCTTCAAGAGGAGAGAGTGAGGAGAGAGGACGAGAGATACCTTTACATCAAGGAGTATTCATAAAATTTTGGCTTCAGATTTTCTACTATGTTGGATATACTTTCCTGATAGCACATTGAGATCTACATGATTAATTTTCAAGGGTAGCATAATATATCATTATATTTATGAGGCATCATGTTTTAATCTATCCTCTATTGTTGAATAATTATTTTCAAGTCTTTACTACTATGTACAGAAAATAGTTGGATAAAAATGCATAAAAAGAATGTTTGCTGGGCCGGGCGCGGTGGCTCACGCCTGTAATCCTAGCTCTCTGGGAGGCCGAGACAGGTGGATTGTTTGAGCTCAGGAGTTCGAGACCAGTCTGAGCAAGAGTGAGACCCCGTCTCTACTAAAAATAGAAAGAAATTAACTGGACGACTAAAAATATATAGAAAAAATTAGCCGGGCATGGTGGCACATGCCTGTAGTCCCAGCTGCTCGGGAGGCTGAGGCAGGAGGATCGCTTGAGCCCAGGAGTTTGAGGTTGCTGTGAGCTAGGATGACGCCACGCACTCACTCTAGCCAGGGCAACACAGTGAGACTCTGTCTCAAAAAAAAAAAAAAAGAATGTTTGCTGGAAATATAATAATAGAAAATTAGTAATAGTTTAAGTGGTTACAAATAGTATATTTATAAAATGAAAAACTGTACTGTAGTTAATTAAGATGGCATTGTTTACTTCTTGGGAAACAAAATTAGTCCACTTTGTGTTGCTATAGAGGAAATATCTGAAACTGGGTAATTTATAAAGAAAAGAGGTTTATTTGGCTCACGGTTCTACAGACTGTTCAAGCATGGTGCCAGCATCAGCTTCTGGTGAGGGTTTCAAGGAGCTTCCAATCAAGGCAGAAGGCAAAGGGGGAGCAGGTGTGTCACCTGGCCAGACAGCGAGCAAGAGAGAGAAGGGGGAGGTGTCACATTCCCTCATGAACTAATAGAGGGAACTCACTTATTATTGTGGGGAGGGCACCAAGCCATTCATGAGGGATCTGCTCCCGACACAGACATCTCCCACTGGGCCCCACTTCCACCACTGGACATCAAATTTCCATGTGAGGTTTGGAGGGGCCCAACGTCCAAACAATACTAGGTATGTTTTGTGAAAAAGGAAGTTATGGAACAGTATGTATCATATTTCACCTTCTAAAATAAATGGGGGCTGGGCGCGGTGGCTCACGCCTATAATCCTAGCACCCTGGGAGGCCGGGGCGGGCGGATCCTTTGAGCTCAGGAGTTCTAGACCAGCCTGAGCAAGAGCGAGACCTTGTCTCTACTAAAAATAGAAAGAAATTGGCCACACAACTGAAAATAGAAAAAATTAGCTGGGCATGGTGGCGCGTGCCCTTAGTCCCAGCTACCTGGGAGGCTGAGGTAGGAGGATCTCTTGAGCCCAGGAGTTTGAGGTTGTTGTGAGCTAGGCTGATGCCACGGCACTCTAGCCCATGCAAGAGAGTGAAACTCTGTCTCAAAATAAATGGGGAGCACAGTATCTGGAAAGACAAAGCTGGATGGCTTTGGGTGGGCTTGGGGAGTACATTGGTAAGTTGGCAGTGGAAGGTGGATTTTTTTTTTTTTTCTGTCTTTGATAATAATTTAGGTTCTTTCCATTCTTGACCTGGACAGTTTTTCTGCTGATATTAGGAATGCTTTTTTGACTACTTCTGTTAGTTCGTGCATTTACTTACTTTGGTAAATAGTGATATATTTGCTTCTCAGAGTACATTTTTCCCTTGCCTCACTTTATTTAAGCTTTATAGTTTATAGCTAATTTTTTAAAAAACTGAGATGCCTTATCTTTCTTTTGGATTGATAGTTCTAAACTGAACTCGCTGGCCACCTGACAGCTCTCATTCACTCTCTGGGGACAGACGATCTCTACAGACTGCTTTCTGCCTCATTAGGGAGGCTTAATTCAAAACTTGTTTTCTTATGCAGACTTCTTCCTGCATCTTCCTGGTCTCTTTTAGTTCCTTTCTCTGGGAAAATGCATCACATATCCTTATTTAAAAGACTGTCTTTTCTGAACTTGATGGAGACTAAGCAAAATTGAAGCAAAGGGTCTTTATAAGTAAAAGCAGTTTGTGTAACTATAACAGTATGTTAATAGTAGCTATACAATTCTAGCTTTTTCATGTTTGTATAGATTTCTTTGTTTTGCTATTAAATATTTCTGAAAAGTAAATATGCAATTGCAGGTTTCTTTTATGGTGGCAAAAAATGCCGAAATGCATAAGAATAAGCTGCAGTATTTTATGGAGCAGTTCTATGGAATCATCAGAAATGCAGATTCAAACAACAAGGAGTTATCCATTGCTATTCGTGGATATGGACTTTTCGCGGGAGTATGGCTCATTAATTTACTCTATTTTATCTTTTTGATTTCACTTGAATGTTTAAAGGAATGTAATTTATTACATTTTTGAGTAGCATCTCATACTTGTGACAATACAACTGATCCTTGAATGACATGAGTTTGAACTATGCGGGTCCACTTATGTGTGGATTTTTTTCAACCAAATGCAGATCAAAAATGCAGTGTTTGTGGGATGCAAAACCTGTATGTAAGGAAGACTGATTTTTCATCTACAGGGGTTCTGCAGGGCAGAATGTATGCGCAGATTTAGATATACTCACAGATGTCCTGTGAGCAACCCCCACGCATACCGAGGGGCAACTGTATTATTGTCATTTGTTTTATTAGCACTTAAGGGTTTTTTCAGTGTCCACTATGTACTAGAATTCTGTATATGTGTTAAATCTTCATAACTCTCCTACAAGCTGAGTATTAACTCTATTTTACGGGTGAGGAAACTGAGACCCAGGGAACTTAGGAAACTTGTCAAAGGATACACAGAGTTGACAGATCTGAGCCATAAATCTAAGTCTGAAGACTAGGAACACCATGTTTTCCCCTCTGCTGTACTGCCCCTTATTTATAAAGTAAAATTGTAGTTGATTTCGCTCAAAGTTCTAGAAAGAGAAGTTCATGTGACAGGAAGAGTTATATTTAAGAATATTAAAAATTACCTTAGTTAATTCCCTCTTAGTGGATCTCTGTGACTTCTACTTTGTAGAGAAAATAGCTTCCTCCCTCTCTTCCTATAAATTTATCCATCAGTCTCTACTCTGTCTTTTTATTTTATTTTTATTTTTTATTTTTCAGAGACAGGATCTCACTGTGTCCCCCATGCTGGTATGAAGTGGCATGATCATAGCTCACTGCAGTTGTGAACTCCTGGGCTCAAGTGGTCCTCCTGCCTCAGTCTCCCAAGTAGCTGGGACTACAGGCATGCACCACTTTGCCTGGATAATTTTTTTTGTTTTTTGTAGAGATGGGGATCTTGCTATGTTGCCCAGGCTGGTCTCAAACTCTTGGGCTCAAGCCATCCTCCTGCCTTGGCCTCCCAAAGTACTGGGATCGATTACAGGCACTAGCCACTGAATCCTGCCTCTCTCCCTTTTTTTTTAATTTTCATCTCTGTTTGTCTCTGTCAGCTCCTTTAAATATGCTTAGGGCAGAAGAAACAGCATGTGAGAAGGCTCAGAGGTAAACGACAGCATGGGATTTTCCTTTTATGTCCTGTGGTCTACCCAACCTCAGCTTGTCCCTGTGGCTAGGGCATGATAGACAAGCAAAGAGGGAGAGGACTGTGAAAGATAAACCAGTCAGATCCTCGAGGAGTCTGGACCAGGTTTGGATGTCTAGAGAAGCCTTTGAAAAGTCTGAAATTGGGTAATTGCAGTAACAGATTTAGGAGTTAAAAAAGATGGCCCTGGGTATGGTATAGCAGCGTGTCTCAGTTAGGTATTGTCTTCTGGTCTCTCCTGTGCCTGGCCAACCTGGGGGGGCAGAGACCGCCTCTCATTTGTCTTCGATACCCACTGTCTAAAGAGTGCCTAGTACTATAGCTGACACTGTTCAGAATGTGATTATGGGTTATTATAAAAAGCATCTTTATAAGATACTGCACTTTATATCTGTATTTCTTCTCAGTTAAAAAGCTTGTTAATATTCAGTTTATAATCCCATGGCTTAACATGACCCTGACACCTTAAATGCCATTATTTGATATTGATAAGATTGACGGAATTCCACTTTACCTTTCCTAAAGCCTTGCAAGGTTGTAAATGCAAAAGATGTTGACTTCATGTACGTTGAGCTTATTCAGCGCTGCAAGCAGATGTTCCTCACCCAGACAGACACTGTCGATGACCATGTTTATCAGATGCCAAGTTTCCTCCAGTCTATTGCAAGTGTCTTACTTTACCTTGACACAGTAAGTGAAATAATTAAGTTAAACTGAGTGCAATTTTAAATATTTGATCTTTTCTTCAAATACTTTGATGGAGTCATACAATGCATTTAGTGCAGGCAGTGTTGTGATCAACATGGTATTTTTAGTTAGTATTTTGTGTCAACAGAATTATCATCATGAAACTTGATTTTTTTGTTATACAGAGCAGGGTTTTGTTACTCTTTCCATCTTTCTAAAAGATTAAGAATTGCTCCTTGGGATAGAATTGCACCTTAAGACGGTTTTATTCTGATTTTTTTTTTCGGACAATCACAATAATAAACATAATGCTTAGCAGATTAGATGACAAGCCATGTTTTCCACTTATCTGTGTCTAATCAGTTGTAATTACTTTGAATATTTGTGTTGTTCCTATATTTATTTATTCCTTCCTTTAACTTTTAGTTTTTTCTCCATTTCTGGTAGGTTCCTGAGGTGTACACTCCAGTTCTGGAGCATCTCATGGTGGTACAGATAGACAGTTTCCCACAGTATAGTCCAAAAATGCAGCTGGTGTGTTGCAGAGCCATAATAAAAGTTTTCCTAGCCTTAGCAGAAAAAGGACCAGTTCTCTGGAATTGCATTAGTACCGTAGGTAAGTTTGCAATTCTTTCTTGTTTTTATGATGAATGATGAATAAATAATACGTTATTTGACATAGGTAAAGAAAATATGGTTGCCACATTCTTTTGTATCTTTGATGCCTTTTGATGAACTCCTAAATTTTGGTGGGAATTCATCTTCCTTTTTTCATCCTTTTACTTCTGAATCTTAATAGTTCAAATTTTAAAACTAAAAATATTAACAAACTTAGAAAAGAAATTGAGAGATAGAATTAGGTTCCAAAAAATAATGACTATCGTTTTTATTGAGTGGTTGTATTTTCTAGTGTTTCGTTCATTTTTGTTTTTATTTTCTTTTTTTAGTGCATCAGAGTTTAATCAGAATATGTTCTAAACCAGTGATCCTTCAAAAGGTAAATTCTTAATTTAGTATTTTGAAAATTATCTTTTATCACTGAAAGTTAGAAAATTTGTTGAGGTTTTATGTAAATATATAAAAGTGGCCTTTCTTGGTTGTTAGCCATGCCTTACATTTAGAAAAGTATAGGATATAATACCTTTATATTTTGTTAGGTAAATACACTTTTCCAAAGGTATGAAACATGTTTAAGCATAACTTTACTGTTATATACATTTTTTACAAAAAGGAAATGTTTTCTCTCTTGAAATTCTGGAACAAAATGCATATTATGTGTATTATGGGAGGCATATCTTAGTTCCTAGAAACTACAGGAAATAGGTTGAGATGAGAGATTGAACTGTGTAAGAAAGTAAGATAGATTTCTCTCCCCTCCTCCCCCTTTACACCTCTTACTCTCCCTCCTCTAAAAAAAAACAGAGTGAGATAAAATTCAGGGGTTCCCAATCTGTGGTGAGTTGTATAATTATTTCATTGTATGTTACAATGTAATAATAATAGAAATAAAGTGCACAATAAATGTAATGTGCTTGAGTCATCCCAAAACCATCCCCTTGCTCCCTGGTCCCTGGAAAAATTGTCTTCTATGAAAACGGTTCCTGGTGCCAAAAAGGTTGGGGATTGATGAAATGATTCATAACACATTCAGTAGACAGTGTGTTGAAATGTTTGTTGGTGCATCACAATTTTAGTCACAGAGTCATAGTTTTTTTTCAGCTTTTCATCATGCTTTCATAATATGGTATCTTTCTCAATATAATTATTTAGTCTCCGATGGGTAGCTGTTTTAACTTAGAAAATTCAGAAAATCAGCAAGTTCTGGTAGTGGTGCTGCTTTCGTGAATCCACCAGCAAATATTGCATGTTACTACCTTCCTTGCCAGGGCCCTGAGTCGGAATCTGAAGACCCTCGTGCCGTGGGGGAAGTCAGAACTGGCAAATGGAAAGTGCCCATGTACAAAGATTATGTGGATCTTTTTAGAAATCTCCTGAGCTGTGACCAGATGATGGTAAAATTTACAGTTTGAAAGCCACGGAAGTACCCTACTTCTTCTCCTTATTAGTCTCCATAATTTTAGAATTAAGACTTACTTATTTCAGAATTACATTTTACAACCTATCAAATGTTTTTTTAAAAACATGTACTTCAAATAATAAAGAATTTAAGTCAGGACAGTTAAAGTGAGACTAGAAAAAAAATGAGTTGAAAGGAACACAAACATAGACCTCTTTTTAACATCAGTTAGTTACTCTTGCTGAACCCCCATTTTAGCTTTCAGTAGCGATGGATGCTAAGTTGTTCTTTCTAGTAGGTCCAGCCTTTCAGGTAACAAAAAATAGTATTGGCACCATAAAAGAGCTATTTTTCTTTTTTTTTTCCCCTCACCCACCACTCCTGTATTCTCTTTTATTTGTTAAAGATGAAGATAAATCCAGCAGGTTTAGTAGGTATGAAGAGGATTGGTGCACAATTTACATCACGTATAATTGGAATAACACCTACTACCTAATATGTCCCTAGGAGATGTTTCTTTAGTGTCTACTTTAACCCAGGTGGTGGCTAGTGTTTTAATATATACCTTGACTGAGCACTGATAGCCTAGGACAAGCTATTTTTGTCAATAGATGTCAATAGATGATTCCTGTCCTATGAGAAATCTTAGGTGTTTTTTAGTTTTTTTCTTACTGACATAAAAGAGTGTAACAGTTGGTAGTAATTTTACCCAAATCTATCTTTTTTATGTGTGATGTTAGATAGTCCTATATTTTGAGGTTAAGTCCTATAAAATATTTGACTGAGTATAGGCAGAGTAATTGGCCTGTAATTTTGGAATGGTAGAATAGATTCACTTTTAAAGAAATG